CTGACCACGCCTCATGTTGCCCAACCTTGCTGCTATCCAGCCTGTGGTGGGAGGGGGTGGCCAGGTAGCAAGAGAGAGGTATATCCTCCTGGTATCTGGTGAGATGCACTCAGCAGCAAGTCACAGAAAAATCCAGCAAACAGTGTTTAAACCATACAGATAGTTACTGCTCACTTAGCAAGAAATCTGAGACAGGCGGTCACAGGGATGCTTTAGTGCCTCAATGATGCAGTCGAGATAATGGGCTTGTTCCTTCTCCTTTGCCATCCTCAGGGCATCCACAATGTTCTTCTGCAGGATTATAGGATAGCTGCCCAAACTGTCCATCTTCACAGGACTGCTTTCAAGCAGGAAGAACTTTTTTTCCTTGCATGTCTCTTTTCCTGCAGAGTATCTTTCTCAAAGCCCCTAGCAAATTCCCCTTATATCTTGAGTGACCAACTTGTCCCCTTTTGCCTGTTATTTTCCGTTTTGTAACTAAATTCACAGATACTGGGAACCCCCTTGGTTCCTGGCAGATCTGACCAGTTGGTTTTCCCTACTTACATCCCATTGGCCAGAACTGGGTCACATGTCCCCCCTTGACCTATCCCTAGTAAAGGGAATGGAAGTATCCCAACTGGTTTAAACCAATCAGGATTCACCTCCTGGGGGACCTGGCATGTTGCCATTTGACTGGTGTGGTGTTCTGTGAGCGAGGCAGCAGGGCTGGCTGCTGGATGGGCACCCTGCAGTGTCCACCACACTCCCAAACAAGGCTCCACCCTTCCCCAGCACCATCACCATCACGCTGTGTGTGTGTGTGTGAGTAAGTGTGAAAGAATAAGGAGCATGACAAGGATGCTGGGGGAGGGGGAGGGGGGAAATGGCCCTAAATACAGGCTTCCTCTGTGGTCATGGGAAACAAATTTATTTTTAATCTGACCTTCATGTGGCTTCATTAATGTGCGGTTTTCCAGGCATGATATCCAAATGGGCAGCTTTCAGGTAATAATAACAAAGACCAGAAGACAGCTGATCGTTCTCCTAAACTGGTCTATTTTTTATATTTCCCTGGATAGAAATTATGGGAATGGGGGCATCTGTGCAGAAGGACAGAGGGGCTGGGCATTCAGCAGGCTAAGGGGTCAGCCCCAGCCCTGGCTCCTTGGGGACACGGGGGTCACCCAGCCTCCTCACTCACCTCTTGCCTCAGCTGCACTCAGGTCAGAAACACTTTGAGTCTGTCCTAGGTCTACCTGACACCAAATCTCATGATTTGTGAGGTTCCAGCCCCAGGGCCAGTCACTTTCTCTTAAAACTTTAGAGAAAAAGACATCAAGAATAAGTTATTTGTAAATCTGGTGATGGTGTTTTGTTCATTCAAACAAATCTTTATTGAGCCTCTACCACGTGCAGGCACTGAAGTGTGTTGAGGATCAAACAGTGAAACATGATACATAAGATCCCCACCCTTAAGCAGCTGACACTCTAGCGGTGGCAGGTAGACATAAGCAAGAACTAAGATAGATCATCAGTAATAAATATAATAAAGAAATAAAGCCAGAGCAGGGATGGAGACACCTAGGTAGGTGGAGGGGAGGGGCGCCTGCTCGTCTCCATCACAGATCTGCAAACTGCAGCCTGTGAGCTGCCACATATTTTAGTAAATAAAATTTTATCAGAATATAGCCAACCTCGTTGACTTACATATTGCCCACGGCTGCTTTCACGCTACAATGGAAGAGTTGAGTAATTACAACAGGGATTGTATGACCTGCAAAGCTGGAAATATTTACTATCTGGCCCTCAAAAAAGTTTGCCATCACAACCAGATCCCATTTCACACCCACCAGAATGGCTATAATCAAAGACAGACACAAACAAGTACTGGTAAGTACAAACAAACTGGACCCCTTACACATTGCTAACGGGAATGAAAATGGTGCAGCCACTTTGGAAAACAGTCTGGCAGCTCCCCGACAGGGTAGACGTAGTAACCGCAGGACCCAGTGATTCCACTCCTAGGTATGCACCCAAGAGAAATGAAAGCATATGTCCACAGAAAAAAACCTGTACAAGAAAGTTCAAAGCAGCATTATTCATAATAGCCCAAAAGTAGAAACAACCCAAATGTCCACCAACAGATGAATGAATAAATAAAATGTGGGACAGCACAATGGAATACTACCTGGCAATAGAAAGAAATGTAACAGTGATATGAGCTGCAGTATGGATGAACTGTGAAAAGATGATGCTAAGTGGAAGCTAGTCACAAAAGACCACATATTGTATGATTCCATTTGTATGAAATACCCAGAATAAGCCATCTATAGAGACCGAAAAGAGCCTGTGACTGCCTAGGGCTGGGGAGGCTGGGCAGTGATGCCTAAAGGGTGCAGAGTTTCATTCTGAGGTGATGAAAACTGATTGTGGTGATGGTTACACAGCCCTGTGAAAATACTAAAAGGCAAGGAATTGTACACTTCAAATGGGTGAATTGTACAGTGTATGAATTATGAATATATCCCAATAAAGCTGTTTTTAAAAGATTTACCAACCTTTGTTCTAGACAGTGAAGGAAGGTCTCGAGGTGGGGTACTTGAGCCACTTTTGTAATTAGCTCAAAGCTCTCAAAGAGTGACAGGTGGCCTTTTACTGAGCACTATGTGCCCGGCACTGTGCGAAGCATTTTACAACCACTGCCTTATTTAATCCTCACAAAAGTCCTGTGGCTTAGATACTGACAACTCCAATTAACGGATGAAGAAACTGGAGCACAGAGAGATTAGGTGACTCACCCCAGGTCACACAGCTGATAATTGGCAGAACTGGGATCCAATCCCAGGTGTTTCTGACTTCAAAGCCTGTGCCCTTAACCACTGAGACATAGCGTGTGCACACAGTTCCCTGTCCAGCCTCTGGATTCCTGATCTTTCCCAGATAAGGAGATGGCCCAAAGCAAGACAGAGGAGGTGGGGAAGAGCACAGCCTTAAAGGAAAGTTGGGAAGGGCACACCGGGAGCAGAGGAGAGCAGTGAACACGATGACACGTGCCCCTGGGGTCAGAAAGGACCATTACAGGGTGAGGAAGACACCAACACAGTGGTTTAAGAAATGTTAGAGATGTGCGAACCACCTAGTGCAGAGAAATCACCTAGCGCAAGAAGTAAGAGAGGCTTATTTAAAATGCAGGGTTCTAAATAAATAAATAAATAAATAAATAAATAAATAAATAAATAAAATGCAGGGTCCTGGGTTTCACTGCCAGAGATTCTGATGTAGTGTGTCTGAGTTGGGGATCAGAAATCCAGTGTTGTCAAGCTCTCTAGGAGATTCTGATGCAGATGGTTGAGGGCTTATACTGTGAGATGTCCAGCAGAAACTTCAAGGTCTGCACAAGTCTCCTCTGGGTGCTCCCCTGCCCTGATCTTGGCATCCCTCCCTTTCTCTCCCTGATATTCCATCTTCCTGACTCTCTTTCCCGGTGCCCAGGGGCCCCACGGAGCTCTGGAGGCTGCCCAGGCTCCTTTCCTGCTCTTTTCTCCACCTGCCGTGACCTTCCCTACCTCCCTTTGTTCTGCCCCATCTTCCCCAAGAAGCTTCATCACACCTCCCTTTCCTTAGTCTTCCATCCCAAAAAGGCCCATCTTTGGGGAGTCTGCTGGTGTGCCTCCTCTAGATGAAACCTTCCCTAACCATAGGCAAGTTTCTTATTGCATCTGTAAAATGAGTATGAAGAGCAAATGAGAAATTGTATGCAAGGAGCATTGCAGGCACTCAGTAAATAGTAGCTATTATTTTTATATTGCTTGACCTTGGGCAGGTGAGTTTCTGTATCTCTAGAATGATAAGAGCTCTTGTATTAAAATATACAATAACATACCTATTATTTTCCTCATTTTACATTTGAGGAAAGTGAGGCAAAGGGGGATTAAGAAAGCTGTCCAAAAAGCAATGAATGCTAGATAAATAAAAACAACAGGTTCCACTAAAAAAAAAAAAATGAAGAAGAAGAAAGCTGTCCAGGGTCACCCAACCAGAAACTGATTGTACCTGCATTTGTACTGAGGCTTCAGGCCCTCAGCTCTAATCTTCATGTTATACTGACTTTTGTTGTTATGAGGCTCCAATGAGATAATAAATGCATGTGGTTCATGCTCAGTAGATGCTGGAGACTGAGTTGAAATGTTTCTACATCCATTGGGGGGGGATTACTTAAAGACTTTACTGAACATGATGTCTCATGCTTCTTATTTGACAAGACTCAACACCTTAAAATCTCTAACAAGAATGGGATGTAAAAATAATTCAGGGAAAAAAATTCAGAATGGTGTAAAGCTTGGTAGGTACAAATCTTGTCAATCTACTTCAATAGGGGTGATTGTAGATTTTCACTTCAGAACATTAAGATGGTGCAGAGATATTGGGGAGGGAGGATGGGCACAGGGTAGCTGATCTGGTTCCAACCATCCCACTTCCCTGCCCCTGCTTCTGAATTTCTCTGTCACTCTATATCTTTGGCATCGCAAACGCTGAATCTCTCCTCATGAACAACTGAAAGAGATTCAATCTAAGAAGGACTCAGTGGAAGGAATACTTAAGAGTTATTTTCCAATCAAGGTGCCACACAGAATGGAAATCCCTCCAACCAACTCCAAATTCTCTTTCAACTCAGGCCGTTAATCTCATCTACCCTCTTTTGAGTGTCATACAAAACTTAGGTAGACCAGAAAGCCTCCTCCTTTGAGCCTGGGGTCTACCAATAGAGTCAGGCAGCTTTCCACGTGAATTCCATCCATGGGAAATGCTATGTGTCTTTTCCTTCCAAAATGGATGAACCATGAAAATATTATACTAAATGCCAACTTCAGCCTTGTCCCTTTTCACACAGCTGCCCAACTTTTGGTGGCTGAGGTCAAGAAGACAACGGGAAAAACAGAATGCTCAACAATTCTATTGATTGAACCAAAACCCAAGATACCAAGATTAACCCAACTCTGCTCAACAATTCTATTGATTGAACCAAAACCCAAGATACCAAGATTAACCCAACTCTTAGGAAAAATAAAAAAGACAATTCCAATGGGACTACAGGACATAAAAGATAACAAGAGTCACCACCAAATAAGACTAAGAGCCTTTCCGGAAATGGACAACCTTCTGAAATGCTTGTCGGAACTCTTCGTTAAACACAGTATAGATTATTGGATTGATGAGGGAGTTTAAATAGCCTAGCCAGGTGAAAAAGTCAAAAAGAGCTGGGTGGATCCAGCAGGAGTCCCGGCAGATGGGGAGGACCAGAGATGCAACAAAGAAGGGCAGCCAGCAGACGATGAAGGCCCCCAGAATGATCCCCAGGGTTTTAGTGGCTTTCCTCTCTCGAGCTGCCGAAATCCTCTTGCGCTCCAGGACGCTGTCTGCAAGCTTGATTTTCACGTGGTTGAAAAAGAAAGGGGAACCGGCAGAATGAGAGTGCCCCTCATGAAGGCTGGGGTTGAGCGAGCAGAGCGAGGACCCCGCGGAGCCTGTGATGAGCTGGGCTGTGGTGGAGCGCTTCCCGTAGAGCGAAGGCGGGTTCAGGATGCGGTTCCGGGCAGCCACGTAGATCCGGCCGTAGAGGATGACGAGCAACACAGATGGGATGTAGAAGGCCCCACAGGTAGAGTAGATGGTGTAGGAGATCTGAGAAGTGTTCACCAGGCAGTCTGACATCTCTTCATGAGCCTTGGCCTGCCGCCAAAAGAGTGGTGGGATGGAGATGCAGATGGAGATGAGCCAGACCACGGCGATCATGGCAGCCGCATGGCCCACTGTCCGGCGTTTACTGTACTCCAGGGCGTCCGTGATGGCCCAGTACCTGTCCAGAGCAATGACACAGAGATGCAGGATGGAGGCCGTGCAGCATGTGATGTCCGAAGACAGCCAGATGTCACACAGGATTTGGCCAAAGCTCCAGGTGTGGGTGGTGGTGTATGGGATGCTGATGGGCATGACCAAGATGGAAACTAAGAGGTCAGTCATGGCCAGGGAGCCAATGAGATAGTTGGCTGGGGTGTGGAGCTTCCTGGTCAGGAAGATGGTGGTAAGCACAAAGGCGTTGGAAAGAACTGTGGCCAGTGTGATGATGGAAAGGACCACCGCAAGAGAAATCTTGAGGGCTTGGAGGGTCCCTGGATCCCAAGCCTCTGGTGTTTCTGTGGCATTCAGGGATCTGTTAGGAGTCCCCTGGAGAAGGCCTTCCACTGACTGGTTTGGCGGGGACATTCTAGGTGGCTCTCTCTTCCCACAGACTCAGACACACACAGCTCCTTCTTTCACAGCAGTCCTGCTCACAGAATAAGGTCATCCTTTTGTTTCTTGCCCTCAGAACCGACCACCATGCAAAGACCTTGAAACTTGACTATTTAAAGAACACACTGAGGTGACTACTACGTGGGAGTTAAAGGTCTTTCCCAAACCAGATGAATCCCAAGATGTCTCATTGTTCTGGAACTTTGCGCAGCAGCTGGTCAGGCCCAGTGGACACATGCTGGGTTTGTTAGACATTTATCAGGACATCACAACAGTGTAGGCGATGTTCAGGGATTCTTGCCTTTGGCATTCTGGCTCCTCCCAAAGCTTGAGGGAGAAATGTGTTTAATGAAAACTTCAGAATTTCCCTCATCCTATTCTGAGAAGATTCTGGATTTCAGGTTGCCTCTGGGAAGCTTTCAAAACTAGAGACAAAAAGAAGTACCAGATGATTCATTGAGGCAGGCCAGTTAACAGCTCCCAGTCTTTCCAGGTTTGTCTTGACACATCACGAGGTACTTTGGTTCCTGTCCCACTGAACGTTTTGAGCCTGGACAGACAAAACATTCTGGTTACCAAGACTCGAAGGATGCATGAGCTAGGAGAAGGCAAAACAAACAGATCACTGTGGGTTCATCAAGAAGCGCACATGTTTAGAAGCTCTGGTGGGGGGAGGGGGAGCGGTTAAAGAAAGAAAAAAAGTTGAGTTAGGCTCTAGAAGGACAATTTAGACACTTGAGATTAACTATAAGATTAAAAGGATGCTGCTTAGTGCTGGGAGTGGTGCAGCGAAACTGGCACTCTCACAAGTGTCAGGAGAATACAGGGGAGGGCGATGCGCCCACCCCCACAATTCCCAGAGTGGGCAAAGTATCATAGCTGCTGGAAGCATCACAGGCTTCTTACAAGTATATGAAACCAGCTCTGTAAATTGTGAATCAGAAATCTTCCTATTTATTCAGCAAGAATGGAAACTAAACAAAATAACTATGTACACACACACAGAGGCCACTAGGAAAGATACCAAATTGTTATAATGTATTTCTCTAGGAATTGGTGGAGGGTGACCTTTCTTCTGGTCTTATGAATTTTCCATATTTCCTAGAATTTCCTACAGCATGCATGACTCTTAAAACAAAACAAAAAGCAAAAATAAAACCACCTTTGGGTTAAGCAAAGAAATTAACTGCAAAAATAATAACCCTGAACATTTTTCATGGTGAAAATTCAAATCCAGCAAATACATTTGGCTTTCCAAATGAAAATTGGAAATTTGGTCACCAAAAGTTTTTGAAGAATCACTTTCTTTTCTCCTCTGTGCCTCTAGACTTGAATCTGGGCTTCAAAGTATTTAGAACGTGGGCAAGCCCTGGGGTCTGTAGTCCATGGAGCCTGGCAGGCAGCCCCTGGGTATATGGGGTTGGCAAGAAGAATGCCAAGATGCCTTAGCCCCACTGTGTCTCCCCCTGCCTTGTGTGGAATGCCACAACTCCACCAGGAACCCCTGTGGTTCATTTGATCTCTTCCTGGTCAATTTAGCAAATAGGACTTGCCCTGAGAGCATTCACAGCCCAGCAAGGGAAGCACACATGTAGTTTCAAGGGTCCTGGAATAGAGCTGGCAAGGCAGAATACACACACACACACACATACACACACGTTTCTTTAAAAATGTGATCATTATACTTATGTATGAATTTGTTTCATAGTTTGTATGTTTTTCAACTTAATATATTTTGAACACTGCTCCATCAGTCACTCCCACAGTATCAGTAATCTTAAGGGTTGTGTGCTGTTCCACTGATTGCCTACATTAAGGAGAAGAGTTTCTGTAGTCAAAGTCGGGGGGGATGGCATTCTTGGTGGCTGGAAAGGAAAGAGCAAAGGTCCAGAGGCTGGAGTGCAGACAGCAGAGGTGGGTAGCGGACAGGGCTCAGGAGGTGGCTGGTGCCAGCTGTGGGGGTAGCAGGGCACAGGAGAGAGTTTGGCTTGGATTGGGGCAGTCTGGGCTCTACCTTTGTTCTACCCCAGCCTTCCTGTATGAACTTGGGCAAGTCCTCAGGTCTCAGGTTTCTTCCCCAAAACAGTAGCCACCCCACCTGCAACTAGGGCTGCGGTGGGCCTTGTATTGCTGCTGGCAAGGTCAGCCTTTGAAACCCACTAAAAGGCTGGGAGGTGTCGATAATCATTATCATCCTCCTTCCCTTCTGGTCCACTTGGCTCAGGGCTTTGTTGGGAAGGTTCAGTCTATGTCTGTTGATTGATTTTAAAACATTAAGAAGCTAAATCTGTAATGTAGTATCTTCCCTCCTGCCCCCCAAAATTGTGAGTGCTTCATCTTTAAAAAAATGCCTGCCCAGAGGAGAGGAAATAGCCTCAGTTTAAGAAGACATATCTTAAGCCACCCGCTCTAAAACATTCCCAAAGTTTGAAGGATATTATCATAATATCTTTCATAGGGCTCTTGGTATGTTCCAGACACTGAGTTAGCCTTGGGGCTGGGGCTAAGAGTCACTCCACCTATGGCCCCCAACTTACAAATGAGCCAACCAGTGATCAGAAAGGTGATGTCAGTTGCCCAGGGTCACCCAGGTGGAAGTGGAAAAACCGGGTCCAGAGCCAGCTCTGAAATTTCCACTCTTCTCCACAATTCAGGCAGAAAAGCCTTAAGGCATGTATGCTTCCAGGAATGAATCTGGTTTGGAATCTCATGGTGATAAGTGAAAATGGTGATCCCTCCTGCCACCCTCTCCGCCCCCATGCTCCACCCAAAAGCCCTCTGGCTGAAGATTTCCTCCCACTTTGCTTCGTAAGGAAAATATGAAGTCGGGTTGGACTGCTTGGAATTTTCTTCCATCCAGAAGGTCTGGGTGAGTGAGGTGCTGTCATTTCTCACGGAAGGAAGGCTGTTTGCTTGCCCCATGAACCCAGGTGCTCACTCCTTGGGTTCCAGGCATTCCAATGACCTCATTCTAGCGAAAGGCGTGGGCTCAGAAAGGCCTGAGGGGCTGGTAGGTGACATCTTGGGAAGAAAGACAGGGCCGATTGCCTCGGTCAGGAAAGCTGGACTGTATTTTGCAGGAAGCTACACAGTTCTGAGGCCGTCTCTCTCCTCTCCTGTCCTCCTCCAGCTTGAACAGAATTGGGGGAATTTCCCACAATCCAGCTGCCTATAAAGATACAGACTGTCACTCTTATCACCAACCATAGACTGAAGGCTCTCTCCCATCACACTTCAGGTAATAAAATTAAAAGTGCAAATTAAAACAACAATAAGATACCATCTTCACCCAGCAGACAGGTGAAAAATCTTAATCTAGGTCATGTCATGTCATTTGGTAAAGGTGTGGAGCAACAGGAATTGTCACATCCCACTAGGAGAATATAAATTGGAGGACCCTTGTTAGAAAACAATTTGGTCTTATCTCTAAATCTAAAAATACAATGACTATCTCATGACCTAGTCATTTCACTCCCGGGTATAGAAGACAGAGAAATTCTTCAGTGTGTTCACCAGCAGACAGGAACAAGAGTCACATGGTGTTGACTGTAATAGCAAACCGGCAACCACCCAAACATGCACCAGCAGCAGAATGGGAGAACGTGGCATATTCCTGTGATGGATAAACCAAAGTGCACGCATCAAAGTGGATGATTCTCACAAACAAAACACTCTGTGCCAACATCAAAAATGTGCCAGAAGAAACAAACTGTTTACGGATATAAATATAGGTGGAAAAGCCATGAGAAAAAAGGCAAGGAAACATTAAATATAAAATTCAAGATACTGGTTACCACTGGAGGGGAAAGAAAGCAGGGATGTAATTGTGGAGGGGTTTTAAAGGTATCAGTGATGCTCTATTTTTTAAGCTAGTGGCAAGTACCTGGATGTTTATTATTCTTTAATCTGGATGTATGTTATACACACACACACACACATACACACACACACTTTTGTAAGGAATGATATATTTGTAACTTTTCTTTATCAATTTTGTACATTATAAAAAAAGAGAACCACACTCCCAGCACTGATACATCAATTATGACACATGAGTACCTTTTGATACATCTTAACCCCCAAGATCTGGGTTCTGGTCCCAGCTCTGCCACTGACGAGTTGGGTAATCACGGGCAAGTCATGACTTCTCTTTGACCCTCAGTCTCTTTGCTGGTAAAACAGGAACACCAGCATGGCTATGCTGCCCCAAAGGGGTGTTTAGTAGTTCCAATAAGATCATGTATGTGATGTGCTGTAACTGTAGAGTCCTGAACAAATGTAACCATGGTAACAGAGCTGGAGGGGAGTAGCTAAAAGCATACATTTTAGGTCAGGCAGGCTCAGGTCACTGTTCCCTTTGGCTCCACTTTCTTTCTGTGGCCCTTGGGCATGTCACTTAAGCTCTCCAAGCCTCAGTGATGGAGGTGATAATTCACACTTCACAGGAGTTTGGGGAGAACTGGTAAGAACATATATCCAAATGCCCAATATAGTAAATGATGACTTCTCTGGTTTCTCTAGGATGTATCCAACCATGTTCAGGTCTCCAGGCAACAAGGTCTCTTCCCTCACCAGAAACAAGGCATCAGCCTCCATTTTAGTGAGTGATATCTGCCATTATCAGAACTACCAGCCATACCAGGGAGGCTCCTCCCTGCCCACGACACTCCCGGAAGCCATCACAGCAGCAGCAAGGACCTTCCTCAGCCTCTCCTCTAGTCCAGCAGCATCTCCTCAGGAGTCCAGATCACACAGACTCCAGCCACCCTGTGTATCCCCCAGCTTCAGCGTCTCTGCAGAGGGGTGGGAAGTAAAAAAAAAAATCACATAGACCTGGGTCCCAATCCTAACTTGGTCCACAGAGCCCCACTGACCACAGCTGACTGGACCAGGGTGGACATGTGAGCCAAAAAGAGCCCAGCAGATTCTCTCTTGGGAATTTATAAAGGAGACTGTGAGCAGCTGGGCGGATAGATGATGAAGGGGAAGCAACTTGAAAGCTAAGGATGCTGGGGCAGGAATCCGGCCACAGCCATGACCGAAGCCAGGGCAAGTTTGGAGGAGGAGCAGAAAAGCCATAAGTAAACAAACAAACAAAACAGGTCTGCAGAGAGAGGCAGAACAGAGCAGACAGAGAAAGGAGCAGACAGAAGGGGGAACCACCTGCCCTGGAGAGGAGGAGGAAGGAATCTTCTAGGCTCAGTGATACTCCTTCTTATCAACTTAGATGTCCATGAGCAACCTCAGGACCCAGGAAAGCTCATTTGTACCAACTCACACTTCTAGTAGAGCCAGTTCAGACGGACACAACAGACCCCGAGAAAGAGTAACCAGACAGAGGGTTTTCTCCTGTGCGTTTCCTCATCTGTAAACTGGGGTCCCAGCACCTTTCTCCCAGAACTGCTATGTGGATTCAGGGAAGGCACAGTGGCTACCACACAGCAGGTGTTCTTTTTTTATGACTCTTAACTAAGACTTCCCATCGGAGCTCAACTCACTCAGCCTGCAGGGAGATCAGTCACCTCCCCTTGAGGAAGTGTCTTTATTTTAACTCAGCGAATCATAAAACCTTGCCAGAAACAAAAAGGACGTATGGGTTTAACGTATTCTCAGAAGCCAGTCCCATCCTTTTGTAGGAAAAAACAAAAAACAAAAAAACACCAAGGCTGTGATAAAGATTTGTTGCAGTAGAATAAATCTCCCACAGAGGAATTCCTGTCTGTTCTTTCTCTAGAAGCTGTGTGGTACGGATGAGTGAGCCCTGGATGGGGAAGTCGGGAAATCATTCTCCACACATCTGAAGAGTGCTTTATATTTCACAAAGTACATCCACATCTGTTATTTCATCTCATTCCCTCTACCACATAGGACCTCCCACAGTCTCAGCTCTCTCTTCTGTAAAATCAGGGTATCAAGTCTGTCTCCTGAGGGTGTCATGCGTGTGAAATAAAATATGTGAGGGAGACTGAAAAGTTTTAACATGGGTGTGTGTGTCTATCAATCAACCAACCAACCAATCAATCCATACCTGAATGCAAATCTTGAAATCTAATCAGTTTCTTGAGCAAGTCAACCTTTCACTTCACTTTCTCTAATTACAAAATCTGGAAAATGTCAAAAAAATAAAAAGTGGCTAAGCCTCTGACCCAGAACTTCCACTCCCAGTTATATACACAACAAAAACATGTATGTATATTCACCAAAAGGTGGGTACAAGAATCATTCATTACAGCACCATTGAACACCCCCAAACTGGAAACTACTCAAACAAACATCAGCAGTAGAATTGATAAATACATTGTGGCATATTCAGACAGCAGAACGCTGCACGTCAAGGAGACCGAGCCCCAGTTCCCCGCCGCATACTACCACACGGATGAATCTCATAGATGTCTGGAGAGCAGACGAAACTCAACATCATGACCCGTGTGTGATTCAAACTTCATAAAGGTCATAAACGGGCAGAACTGACCTACATGGTTGGAAGTCATGCTGGTGTTTTGTGCTTGATTCGGGGATGCAGTGACTGGAGGGATCATGATGGGGTGGGGTGGGGTGCTGCTGGATGAAGGTCACGGTCTGCTTCTTGAACCGGCTGTGTTCACTTTGTGAAAATTCATCAGGCTACACACTTGTGTTTTGGGCACTTTTGTTTTTATAAAAATTTCCCCCCGAAAGTAGTGGTTAAGTGCCTAAGAACCTGAGGTTCTATTGGTCAGAGGGAAATCTTGGACTTGTCATTTAACCTCTTGGGCTCAGTTTGTTTATGTGGAAAATGCAGATAACAGTATCAACATCATAGGGCTGTTTTGTTCAAGGGAGCTGAGTAGAAAGCACCAGCCGTGTGCTGGATGCTCCATACATTTTATTTTTAACAATTCTTCTGCCTAAACCTAGCTCGGCTTTGGCTCTTTTCCTTCGTTTCTACCCCAGCTGCCACTGTCTTGTTACAAGCCAACATCTTCTCTGGCTTAAATGGTCTCCCTGCCTCCGTTCCTGTCCTCTCTCCATTCTCTCACCACATTACACCCAGAATCTTCCTTTTAACTACAAGTCTGACCATTGTCACTCCCTTAAAATCTTCCAGCAGCTCCCACTGCACCTGGAACTGAGTCCCAGCTCCATAGCTTGGTTTAAGAGACTCATCATAAACTGGTCTTTAACTGCATGTCCAGCATCACCTCTGAACCCAGCTGGCGGTGGCCTTCACTCTCCAGCAGCACAGATCTGCTTACTTTCCTGCCAGCACCCTGCTGCCATTCCCACGCCCCAGTGCTCGTTCCTGCTCTACACCTTTGTCTCCACTGTGTCCTCTGCCCAGAAATTAAGTCACCCTTCAGGACTGAGCTCTGGCATCTCCTCAGGAAGCCTTTTTTAACCTGCCTGCAGTCCATCTTGGGTTGGGTACCCCTCTTCTAGATGCCCACCACCACAGCTCTTACCACACAGGGCTGTCTCCATCACTGGACAATGAGTACAGAGACCTTATGTTATTTGACTCCTATAGCCCTGACACCTGGCCCCGGGTAAGAGGACAATCAATGTTTCTGAAAGGCTCCATGAACTGGTGAGGAATGGGCCCCGAGAACAGAGTACTGGACTGAGAGATGGGAACTCGGGGCTCTGGCTTGGTTCTGCCACTAATTCTCTGTGACTTCCCATAAGACAGTTCCTCCTCTGGGCCTCAGTTTCTCTATCTTGAGAATGAGAGGGTTGGGCCAGATCAGAGAGTCTGTTGCTGTGCATCAGAATCACCTGAGGGAACTTAAAAAATATATAAATACTGTTTAAAAAAAAAAAAGATGTTCAGGCTTCACCCCCCGAGGGTTAGAGCCCAGGCACTGTAATTATTCAAAGCTCCCCATATGTTTCTAAGGTGCAGCCAGTTTTGGAAACTGCTAGTCTGGGTGATCTCTGGTTATCTTTATCACTGGCAAGCTGGTTATCTTTAAAAAGTCAGACAGGTAAAGCTTGCTTCCAAGGCCTTTGCAACAGGGAACAGGAGAATTCAACCCCTTTCTACTTTCCGTCTTGCTCTCGGTCAATTACCAATCTTCAACAGGGGAGGGACCACCCTCAATGACTACAAAGGCTCTCCCTGAATTCTCCCATGCTTGTCAGGAGGAGGGCAAAGAGGTTTTAAACTCTCACCATCTGTCCCAAATACTACCCTATGGGGCAGAGTTGGTTTCTCCATTTTACAGATGAAGAAACTGAGGTCCAGAGAGGTAAAATGAAGAGCCCAAGGCCACACAGGCAATGTGTGGCCCAGCTGGGACTAAGAGCCAGGGCTGAGAAACTCCAGAGTAGCCACTACTGGCCACATGTGGCCACTGAGAGCTTGAAATTTAGCCACTGAGATGTGTTGCTGTAAGTATATAAGATACACCGAGTTTCAAATATTTAGTTCAACAAAGAATGTAAAATATCTCATTAATAATTTTTATATGAGTTACATGATAATATTTTGGATATACCAATAAAATATATAATTGAAATGAATTTCACTTTTTTCTTTTTTAATGTGGCTACCTCTAAATTTTCTAAATCTAAAATTACATTTGCAGCTTGCATTATATTTCTTTTTTTTTTATTTTAAAAAATGTTTTTAATATATATATATATATATACTGTTCATTGTTTCTAAGAACAGTTTAGAGCTTTAGCATTTTAAACTTAAGTAGTTATCAAAAGAATAAAGCCAACCACAAAACAAGAATCAACAGAATGCAGTAACCCAATCATAAAGGACAGTCACATGTGCTTACGCATTCAAGAAATCAATCATCTAAGTTATAAATAAGTAGTTCTTTTGTGTCCTTTTTTTAAAAAAAAGATTCCACATATAAGAGATATCATATGGCATTTTTCTTTCTCTTTCTGACTTACTTCACATAGAATAAGAATCTCCAGGTCCATCCATGTTGCTGCAAATGGCATTATTTTATTCTTTTTTATGGCCGAGTAGTACTCCGTTATATACATATATCACACCTTCTTTATCCAGTCATCTGTTGTTGGACATTTAGGTTGTTTCCATGTCTTGGCTATTGTAAATAGTGCTGCTATGAACATTGGGGTGCATGCGTCTTTTTGAATTATACTTTTCACTGGTTATATGCCCAGGAGTGGGATTGCTGGATCATATGGTATGTCTATTTTTACTTTTTTAAGGAACCTCTATACTGTCCTCCATAGTGGCTGCACCAAACTACATTCCTACCAACAGTGTAGGAGGGTTCCTTTTTCTCCACACCCTCTCCAGCATTTAACACTTGTAGACTTTTTAATGATGGCCATTCTGTTTGGTGTGAAGTGATACCTCACTGTAGTTTTGATTTTCATTTCTCTAACAATTAGTTAGATGTTGAACATCTTTTCATGTGCTTGTTGGTCATCTGTATGTCTTCTTTGGAGAGATGTCTATTTAGGTCTTCTGCCCATTTTTTGATTGGATTGCTTGTTTTTTGGGTTGTTTTTGTTTGTTTAATATTAAGGTGTATGAGCTGTTTGTGTATTTTGGAAATTAGTCTCTTGTCAGTCGCATCATTTGCAAATATTTTCTCCCATTCTGTAGGTTGTCTTTTCGTTTTGTTGATGGTATCCTTAGCTGTGCAAAAGCTTTTAAGTTATGTGGCTTGCATTATATTTCTATTGGTTAGCTCCCCTCTAGACCAGCGGGTTACAACAGGGGTGATATCGCCCCCTAGGGGTCAGCTGGGGACTCTGTTCTCAGGGAACTCCATGCAATTTAGGGAAGGGGTTGGGACAGCACTGGGTGCTGTGTGGGCAGGGGCTGGAATAGCAGTAGTAGTAAAGTAATGGCCAAGAGTATTAAGAGCTTATTTGTGCCAGGCACTGTTTTAAGATTTTCTCCTCTATCAACTCATTTCAGTCTGATCACAACCCTCTGAAGTTGATGCTAGTATTATACCCATTTCCCAGGGGAGGAAGCAGAGGCTTAGAGAAATAGCTTGTCTAAGGCGCCAAAGCTAGGACACTCTAGATCTAGAATGGAAACCCGGCTTGCTGGATTTCAAGCTCCATTACCCATAAAAGGTGCTGAGTCCAGTCAATTCCACTCCCTTCTTCATTCACAAATATTTAGCCACACGTGCCGGCACATGTTCAAAAAATCTCTAGTGGGTACCTGTTATGTTCCGGGCTCTGTCAGTCTTACCTGAATGGGGTCTCTCTGTGCCAGGCCCAGTGACAGGAGGGAACATAGACACCGTCCCACGCTCAGCACGTAGTCCTCTGCCTGCCTTCTCAGCGCAGCCCAAAGAGAAGGGCAGGAAGGTGGTTACCGCAGCGCTTCTCACACTTGAATGTGCACATGAATTACCTAAGATCTTGTTAAAAATGCAGATTCTGATTCTGTGGGTCTGGAGTCGGACCTGAGATTCTGCATTTCAGACAGGCTCCCAGGTGACGCTGAGCTGTGTGAGGGGTAATAGTAACATCAGCCCCGAAATTTAAGAAGAACCTCAGGGTGTCACAGAGCAGGAAGGACTCTTAGGAATCATCTAGGCCAAATCCCTGATGATGCTGACAGGGAGAAAGGCTCAGAGAGAGTAAGACACCTACCCAAGGTCACACAGTGAGTGTGCATCTGTGCTCCTACCACTGCCTCCTCTTTGCAGCAGCATCCAGGACAGGAGTATCCAGATGCTCTTATGCCCATTTCACACCATATACTTTTGGAATTTTCAAATCCTCCCCTCTCCAACCCCTCATCTGAGTTTCCATACTAGGGGAGTTATCCTGGGAGCAGGCTGGTGGGGCAGATCACATTCTGCAAGACTTTAGGGCGGTCTCCCCTGGCCCTGGAGCTCAATTTGCACACACATCGCCACCAGGATGCTACACATCTGGGTCCCCAGAAAGCACCTGAGCTGATGGAGTGAAATTGTTTTCAGGACAGAGGAGAGGCGGTGTTCTCCAGACTGACTAAACAAGGTACTAACAACAGGAATCCATTTCCTAGAAATTAAACACTGAATTTGTTGGTGCTTACAGGATCCAAATCTGCTATTCACCATCTGCTTTCCCTGCTGGGAGGTACAATACAGCCGTGATTAGAACATAAGCTTTAGAGTCAGGTAGAGCTTTAGAGTTAGGTAAGCTGAATTTGCATCCCAGCTCTGTCATTTATTAGCTCTGTGACCTTGGGCAAGTTACTCAACCTGTCTGAGCCTGTTTCCTCATCCATTCAATAGCTATTCGCTTAAAGCTTACCACCTGTTGGCAAGGGCAACACAGGTTTGGATCCTGCTCTTAGGAGGACACAGCGGCCTGGCCCTGGGGAAACCCTCCTGGAACCTAGGACCACAGAGGATGACAGTGGAGCACGCAGGGAGCCACGGGATAGTAGGGGGGACAAGCAACCTGCTGCAACCCTAAGATCCCCTGCTTTGAAGCTGAGCACTGGAGGATAAACAGAATCAGCAAGTGAAGAGGAGCTGGGGCCAATGACACCTATTCCACAGGACTGCAGCTTGGCGAAATCTTACCTGGCCTGCACCCCAAATCCTTTTCCTTTGTTTCCCATTGCTTACCTACCGAGAGACTGCACAGTCCAGCCCTCTCCTCTCATCCTCCTGTTGACCTGCACTCAGCAAGAGCCCCCACCTCCAGCTTGGCTGAGACCTCCTCCTGCAAAACACTCTGGTCCTCTCACTCCTCTGAGCCTTTGCATGGGCTATTCCCTCTACATGGAATGCCTTTCCTTTTGTCTCCTCCACCCTCTCTGGAGATTTCTCTGGACCCAAGGGATAGAACTGATCCTCCCTCCTCCCCACCACCCTGGACTTATTATTACACATCATACTGTACTCCCCTTGATTGGGCTCACTTGCTGACTGCCTGTCTCCCTATTGGGTTCCGGAAGGGAGGGGGACTTGCGTGTCATGAGGCCCAGGGACCTCTGTGTGGGGTACCCTTCCCCTTCATCCACCTGTTCAACTGCAATGTCACCCTCAGGATCAAATTCAACTCTCTCCTCTTTGCTGAAACTTGTCCACTCCATCCACCCGAGTGTGGTCAGCCTCCCTGCTCTGTGCCAGCCGGTGCTTTATGTTCATGATTCATACTGTACATCTCCCATCATCCTGTATGCAGTGCTTGTGGGTCTCTCTCCCCACAAGACGGTATATTCCTGGAGCAGAATCTGGTTTTTGTTCACAGCTGTATGTGTTGGGCTCAGTACTTTCAGTGGTTCAGTACTGATTTGCTCAAAGAATGAATGAAAGAAGGACACTGGCAATTTTAACTTTGTCCCCCCCATCTTTGTACCTGTGGCCACAGTATCCTTTGGTCATCCTTCCCAGATGTTTCATAGGGGACCCAAACTCAACTGAGCCACGATCTTCCTCATCCACACCGGCCCCTCCTGACTTCCTTTGTAGGCATTATCCTGTTCTTACTCATCCATCCCTAACACTTGGAACCCTCCCTCCCTCCCTCTCTTCCCCAGCATTTAACCGGTTATTTCTCTTTTATGAACGAGGAAGCTGAGGCTCAGAAAGGTAGTGCAATTAGCTCAAAGTTACACAGCAAATAAATGGCCAGGTTCAGGGCCTTGCTCTGAATAGCCCAGATTCCCTAGCCTGACCTCTCACTCCCCTGCAGGTTTTGTCTCCTCTCCCCTGACTTCTTTGTACACATTTGGGGGCATTTGTCTTGGTTTGGGCTGTTCCCTCTGCCTGGAAGAGCCATTTTTCCCATTCCTCTGCCTACATATCTAGTGTAATCTGCTCTCTGCTCTCTGTGGCCCTTCTCAAAGCCACTTCCTCCAGGAAGCCTTCTCTGGCCAACTGGATGCAAAATCTCTATCCTTTGAACCCTCTCCTGACTCTAGGTTTGTTTATGCCTCCAATGCCTGTGCCTGGAAGCTCCCTGAAGACCTACCTATTTCCTCCCCCCTCCAGAGACCAGAGCAGAGTAGGCTTGCAATCAACACAGAGTAACATCATGTCAGGCTCAGATGAGCCGAGGAGAGATAACAGAATTCCCTCTCTCCTGTTGAAAACTCTCCAGTGGCTCCCATCTTAGAACAAAATCCAAGATTCTTACCATGGCCTGCAAGGCCCTCCATGATTCCGCTACCCTCCAGCCACCTCTCTGACCTCATGTCTTAGCAGCTGCTCCCCCTCAAATTTTACCTCCTTGGCAAAGCTTTGACCAGCCCCCATGAAGTATCTCTCAAACTTTACCTTCTCACCCCACTTCATGTTCATTTTAGCACTTAACCATATGTGATATTTTCTGCTTATTTGTTTATTGCTTGTCTCCCCTGCCTGCTACACCACCATGCACCTTCCATCTAGCTTATTGCCACATCTTCAGGGCCTAGAACAGTGTCTGGCTGACAACAAATAGATGGATCTACAGCCTGAGGAGCGATCGGGGTGGAGACATGCATTTATGAGTCACGTGCACAGAGGTGGTAACCAGAGCCATTGGGGTGGATGAGCTTACCCAGGGAGGGTGTCTACCCTGAGGAGAAAGGAGGGCCTGGGAGAGCAGAGCACCTAATGCCTGTAGAAGGGAGGATGAACCTGCAAAAACAACAGAGCTGAAAGAGGAAGAATACGAGTGTTAAGTCACAGGAGCCAGGAGATGAGAGTGTTTCCAGGGGAAGGAGAAGTCAGCAGAGAAAGTTAAAGACTGAACAGGGCCTGCTGAATTCAGCTTCCTGGAGGACACTGGTGGCCTTGGCAGGCCCCTGCCCCTCCATGGGCCAAGGATGGGAGCCATCTGTGCAATAAGAGGGACCTCTCAGGTCCTGGGAACTCTCAGCTCTGAGATTCTGTATTTCTGCTCATAATCACATCACTGTCACCAAAACGACTAGTCATCCATCTGTGGCCTAGGAGAGAAGGGATGACCCGGGGTACCCATCTTCATTGTTTATCCCTCAGGTAACTGACAAACTTGGAGGAGGTAGCTCTGTATTTCTGGGCCTATCCTAAGCACCTCTGTGGGGAGGAGACTTAGGCCCTTCCAGTCAGGTCCAGCGGACCAGCCCCCTCCCTCCCATGCCATCCTCTAGGTCCCGGCTTCCAGATGCCTCCATGACAGAGACCACCCACTTCTCCCCACCAGCTGGACAGGAATGAAGGCTGCAGAAAGCCCCGCCGCCCATGTAGCTTTGCGGGCTGCTGTTGGTAAAAGGTCCCCTGATGTCCTTGTCAGGAAAACTGAGACCCAGGCTGGTGGTTGTGCCCTCCAGAGGAAAGCAAAGACCCACAACGTGTGGTTGATTAGATTCCAAGGAAGAGAGTGGGATATTACTCCTACCAACCAGAACAATGATGATTGAACTGTTGTCTGCGGCCAGGTGCTGTGCTGAGCAATGACCCTGTTTGATTTGCTCAACACTCTGAGGTGGCTATTCTAATCCCCATTTTACACGGGAGGAAAACAACGCTCAGAGAGGTTAAGGGCTTTCCCAAGGTCACACAGCTAGTAAATAGCCAAGCCCTGTTAGCTAATGCAGCCAGTCTGACTGCGAGCCCCAGCCCTTAATCCTTAAAACCGCCCCAGAGCTAGTGAGGCAAGGGACTTCAGTCTTACATTTTCTTACAAGCAGCATAAATTGGGCAGGATTTATTCCCCTCTCTGCATCTTCAATAAAGCAGATTTCTTAATGCCCCTCCATTTCGGACATTATGTAATTAGCTGGGATTTGTACAGGACTTCACAGTTTATAAAAAGGCATCCATACGGCATCTCATTTATTCCCACGGATCCCGCATGGTGGGAGAAGTAGCCTCTCCATTTGATAGATGTGCAAACTGAGGCTCGAAGAGACGCAGTGACCCGCCCAAGGTCACAAAGCAAGTCAGGGCCCCAGGGACACTAGACGCTCCGACTGCCCTCCAGAAAGGGGCTGCCCTGCGGCGCGACTACTTGGCCGGCAGGGGGCGGC